GACAACCATGTGTTCGCTTACATGGCAACTTGGAGACTTGGAAGGCTGGAGCAGAAGTAAGCAAAGCCTTAAGTATCGACTTGGAATTAGTGCAGAGTTTCTCCTGCACATTCAATTGGCCAAGGAAGTAAAGGGATCCCATCTTCATGTGGCAGAGAAACAGACCCCATTTCTTGATCAGAGAAGCTGCAAAGTCACATTGCAAAGGGATTGATACAGGGAGGACTGAAACTTGTCACCCTTTTTATGATGTGTCACAATCATGGAGAGCCATTGAGGAATTTTAAGTAGGAAATTGATTTAATAAAATTTGACTTATAGAAATAGGCTCTAGGGGGACCATCAGATGGCATAATGGTTATGTTGCTGGACTCCCATGTAGCTGACCATGGTTTGAGTCCCAGATCCGGTGGCTTAAAACTCACGCCAGGCCCAAAGGCTTGCGTGCCAAAACCATGGGAGGTGATGTCTCGTTTTCTGTCTCTGTCTCTCCAGTGGACATGTGTTCTGTAGCAAAAACTCTTTGAAAAGAAAGAAGTAGAAAGAAAGAAAGAAAGAAAGAAAGAAAGAAAGAAAGAAGGAAGGAAAAAAGAAAGGGAGAAAGAAAGAAATAGGCTCCTTACTGATGTGTGTAAAATTGATATATCAGCCTAAATACAGACGCAAAAAGAGATGTTAGAGTCTCATTCATTAACGCAATTAGGAAGTAGTGCCTGATGTAAGTCAAGTGTTCAAGAAGATAAAGGAGAGGAAATAGCTTTGAATGATAGAGGAAAGAGAACTAAGAAGGCACAAACTTGATTATTATTAGGTGTTTGGAATAAGAGGCCCAGAGAAATAAATATTTCAATATTCTGATTTGTAAATTCAGCAATCATCGCATTATTCAAAGGGGTCGACAATAGGTAGGTATGGGTTGGAACATAAGGATTGAAATTTTTGGTTTACTGAATTTTACATGTCTGTGGGAACCTGAAACAGACAGGCCTAGTGGGAGACATATTTTTATGATTGGGGAAAGGAGATCCAAGCTTTGAAAGTCATTCATTTGTAGGTAGTCTGTAATATCATAGAAATATAAGCTATGACTCAGGTGGAGTTTTTCGTATGAGATGGAGGGACAATGTCGGAGGTCTGGGAAGTGTGACACATTAATAAAAAGTAGGTGAAGGAAGAGGAGCCTTTGAAAGAATATAAGAAGCAGCAGCAAGGAAGGTGAGGAAAAAGAGGAAAGAATCGTGTCCTAAGAGGTAAAAGGGAAGAGAACTGGCATCCAGTATTGCAGTGGGTCAAATAGGAAGATAACTAAAACCTGGCTCTAGGATACTACGGGTTAACTATTTCTCTCTCTTTCTCTTCTTTTTTTTTTTTTTTTTTAAATTTAGCAGAAGATTGTGTGTTCACCAAGAGAGACAGAAAAAGAGAAAAGTGGGAAAGCATGCTCTATGGGGAATGGTCACACTACAATATCTACGTCTCCACTTCTTCCTACTTTGAGATCTGGGGCATGCACACACAGGTACCAGAGTGTTTCTCAAGCCACCAGGTCTTGGACTTGACCCTATAGCTGGCTGTGTGGGATCCAGTCACCCTAATCTCTAGGCCATAGGCTGATCCAATTCAAGGAGGGTTTTAGTGAAATAAAAGAGGCAGATGAAGAATGTGGCGTGTCAAGGAGAAAATAAAGATTAGGTTGGTAAGAGAAAAATCTAATTTCAAATGGGAGAAGTGGATTCGTTTTAAATTGGGAGAAAAATGAGGAGTTTCACAGAAGAGTAAGGGCTGATTGGGGTGAAGAGAGGCAAGGAAAGAGGAGAAATAATGTCTTCTTGGTCACAGTGGGATTTTTGTATGTTCTGCATTCTGCAAAGACACCAGAACTCCATGACTAATTCTCACCTCCCACATACAGACAGGCACACACTGTGTACATCCTTAAGGACAAGTGTTTAGCTGGTCTCCCGTCCTTTCTCCTTCCCAAAGTTTAGCTTTTGCATGCACATCACATTGAATATGGAAGAAACATACAGATAAATTACTTTAGATTCACTATGATTAACTGTCATGTCCTCTTTCAAACGGTGATATTCCAATAATTCTAGGAGATACTTATGCTTTCTAAATCAGAATTAGAATTACACTGATTTTTAGATGGTTACCAAACTTGCGCTGTGAAATATTGGTTTCAGGGACCAAAAATGAAGATCTTCTGTTGAAACTTCTCCCCTCAAATTCATTTCTAGTGGGAAGGGCTACTTCTGTGCCTTCCCTCCTCCCTTTTAGGAGAGACACAAACCCAGGCCCATCCTGAGATGGTTACAGACTTGAGCTGTGAAATGTTGGTTTCATGCACTGCACGGTTTTCGATTTTTGCTTTTTAAAATTAAAATATAAATTTTAATGTCTTTTTTCTTTCTTTCTTTCATTTATTTATTTTTGTTTTTCTTTCCTCTTCTCTAATTCTTTTTTTTCCCTTTAATGTCATTCATTGTTTTCTCAGCCTCTACAAATTGAGTGCCTAGACAAGTCCAAGTGAACAGTATCCAAACATCTGAATATGATTAGGATCAGAATATTCCTCAATTCCCACTGAATCTGATGCACAAAGTGTGAAAAATGGAATGGAAGAGCGATCACAAATCACCTCCTCCTGCATGCCTATGAAAGCTCAGATAGAACTTCAAAAATTAGGAAGATACAGACAATCCATCTGATGACCAGAAATCACCACAGGGGCACAAGAAATATGAAAAAGGAAGAAAATACCTTTCCTCCAAGGGACGAAAATGACTCCTCTTAATCCACAGACAGTATAATGGAACTCCTGGAAATGTCAGATAAATAATTTAGAATATTCATAGTGACAAAGCTAACAGTGATGGAAGAGAAGAGAGACAATGAACTGCAGATGAAGCAGGAGAAAGGGGCCAATGAGTTCCAGGAGGTGAGAAAGTTCTTGCAAGCTCTGAAAGGGGAAATATACATCATAAAGAAAGAAGAAAATGGAACTATTAGAGATGAAGACTATAAGGCAGAAAGTCAAACCCTCCCTTGAAAGTATTAAAAGCAGACTAGATCATACAGAAAATCTCAGATGTAGAAAATAAAATCTCTGGCCTAGAAAAATCCACTACAAAGACTGAGAAAATTGCCCCCAAAATGAGAAGTATATATGAGAAATACTAGATACCATCAAACATCCAAACATCCGGATAACTGGTATCCCAGAAGGTGAAGAGACTAATAAGGGCATTAATAATCTATTCCATGAAGTCCCTCAAGAAAACTTTCCAAACCTAGAGAGGCACTCAAAGATTCAGTCCCAAGAAATACAAAGGACCTCAAATAGAATCAGCCCAAGAAGATCTTCCCCAAGACACATTATAGCCAGATTGACCAAAACCACAAAGAAAAAATACTAAGATTGGCAAGAGAGAAATGTCAAGTTACCTACAAAGGATATCCCATCAGGCTAACAGCAGACCTCTCATCAGAAACAATGCAAGCAAGGAAAGAATGGGAAAATATATTCAAGTGTTAAGGGAAAAGCAATTTCAACCAAGAACAATGTATCTAGCAAGATTATCTTTCATATGAGAAGAAAAGACAAGAATATTCTCAGATAAACAAAATCTGAAATAATTTACCAACACCGGATCATCTCTTCAAGAAGTTCTGAAGGAAGTGCTATGCCAAGAAATCTAAATACAGATACACAGAAATAAGAGTTCAAAAATAATTAAGAAAATGGCCAACTTAATCATAGGGACAAATCTGGAGTTGAATATTATATCCCAGAATTTAACTGGGAAGATCGGACCTCAACAAAAGATAAAGTACAGGAGACTGAACTGGCGAAATAGAATCTTAGGACGTTAGACTAAAGCATTATTGATTTTCTCCTTGGCTTTGTTTTCCAGATTTAAGGATTTTTGTCCTGTTTCGAGCTACTGATAGGTTCATGTACCTACTAGCCTCAGCTAGGTGCTACTTTAGAGTATATTCATTCTACTCAGAGTTTCACCCCAAAATCAGACATGTGTTCACAGATACATATATATCAGCTCAACTTGCTATTGAATGTAGATTATTTAAGAGATTTTGTGAATCAATAAACTATGGGGAAAAAAATGGAAAGCAACTGTAGACACCAGAGATAGCATTGGAAGAGGGTGGGAAATGGCAGAGGGTGAGAAATAGGGGGAAAATATGTATACATGTACATATGAAACTAGAAATGGAAAATTATCAATGAGAACATGTATGATTAAAGCACTATGCAGTACATTCTGGATGAGAAATCGCATTTTGTATGCTGTGACGATGCTCAACAAATGAATGCAAAATTAATTTATTTATTAAAAATTAAAGAAAGTAAAGAAAAATTACAGTGTTTTTGGAGGGATGGGAAATATGTATCAGTAAGAATTCATCTACATAAGTAATTGGACATCTGTAGATTCTTTTTTCTTTAAAGAATGTAGAAAAGTATCAAGAACAAAGTCATAATGCTACTTGAAAATTAATGCTTTTCTCTTTTCCAGTTTTCTTCAAAAAATCTCAGTGTCTTGAAGAAAAAAAGACTACAGAAGAACTGATTCACACAAAATTGGAGTGTATGGTAAAGAAGCTGACCAAGGAAGGTAAAAATTAATGTGGCAAGGATTTATTTGGTGACTATACTATGTAAGGATCCCAAATAATTTTTCTACTAAATTTTCCAAGAAGATTATATTGTATTAAGAATCTGAGACTCTGGGACTGGCAGGTGATGTGGTGGTTAAGGTGCTAGATACCCACATTGCTGATGGTAACTGAAAATCATACGAGGTGCATGTGCTTGTTGCCCAAAATCTCAGGAGGAGGATGGAGGAGAAGAGGTTGCAGCATGGTCACCCCACCTGGGGAATGGGGGGGGGGTGATTTCTCCCTTTCTCTATCACAGCCTGTCTCTGTCTCTCTCCAGAGAATACATGCACCCTGTGGCAAAAACCTTAAAAAAAATGAAAAAAATTCATTTGAGCCTCATAATTATTTTAAGCTATGAGTGTACTGATACACAAGGCCTGAAATCTTGTATTTTAAAAATTTGGTAGAAGGCATGTATACTTGCTGGAGAGAAGAAGGTTGGGCGGGGAGGGAGATGAGAAACTACCCCCTATCTGCTAGGAGTATGGCCATGCTACCATCTATTCTTGTATATTTCTCCCTTTAGAATTTTGGACATTCCTGCACAATTGCCCAATGTGCTTTTTTTTAACCCACTGCTTCTGGGACTTGAACTGCTTAATCAGCCATGTGGGATCCAGCTGCTTTAACTACCACACCACAGGCTGGCTACCTAAAATTCTCATATGCATATTTTAAATGTGTTTATGCCAAAAAATAAACCTTAACTGTAGAAAAGTTTCTTTGCTTTTGGTTTTCTTCAACCTTCACTTCTTTTCAAACTTTAAGTGTCCTAGCAAATTTTTCATTTATCAGTTAAAATAATTTGCTAAAAATGGTGATGGTGCTTATGCTTTTATTATGAATGCAAATTATTTAAGTTCTTAAAATTTTTATTTTTAAGAACAGTTAAAGTTTTAACTTTAAGGACAGTTTAGATTTACAGAGTGATTGAGCACATTATACAAAGAAATCTCATTTGACCTCCACTCTGTAGAGTCCCTTATGATGAACAACTTATATAATACATAATACATTTGTCTGAATTAATGAACAAATATTGATATATTATTGCTAATTAACTCCACAATTTATTCTAATTTCTTCCTTTATTTTATTAAGGGTTTTGCCAGTGAGCGTGTGGGTTTGTGGGAGAGAGATAGAGACAGAGAGAGGAAAAGTGAGAAATCATCCTTGGGGCAGATGGCCACAGTGCAATCCCTTCTCCCAGTCTCCTCTCTGGATTTTGCCCATACATGCACACACACTTGGAATAATTTTCAAGCACCAGGAACAAGATTCAAACCACAGTCAGCAATATGGTAATCCAACCTTAGTCATCGCTCCACCTGCTGGCCTCATTCTTTAGTTTGTTTGTTTGCTTTCTTTAAAGAACAATTTATTTTTAAATTTTAATTACTTTTATAAGTTTTAAAAATTCACCAGAGGGACCGAGAGAGAGGGAGAAAGGGAAAATGAGAAAGCAAGTGTCAGGTCCAGGACCCAAATCGTGGTTGGTCATGTGGGAGTCCAGCGCCCAACCACCATGCCACCTGCTAGTCCACCATTCCTTAGTGTCAGCGTCTGCCCCACGGCTTTGCTCAATCTAAGGGGAAATGGGAAGAAAGAGACAGAGAGACAGAGTAGCAGTGGACACAGGCAGCCTGAGCCTAGGTAGCCCAAGCAACTTGTGTCAGTCAGACAAACTGGACACCTTTATTTATAGGGCAAAGTGACATTACATAGGTGTATTTCATGGCATTCCATAGATACGTTGATGTATTACAGACAATACGAAGCAGGTAACAAATCTATAAGGGCTTAGATGTACTGGGCCAGGTGTATCCCTTGGCAATAATCCCACAAGGAGAAATTTCATTAATTTTCTTTTCTAATGGAGAGAAGCCTAGCTGCAGGTGTGGGGAGGATACATAAGCTAAAGTATCTTACCATAAGGAGGGCACTACCATGCCCAGAGAAGGCTAAAGAATCTTACAGAGGCAGAGCCCGGATTGGAATTTGCTGATTGGGGTCAAGATATTTCCTGAGTTCCATCAGATGTGTCTGTTGAAATGCCCCTACCAATTTCCACCCATTGCTTTGCATGCAGCGAGGGTCAAGGAAAGGACAAGGTTCTGTGATAGCCCAAAGGGACAGGTGGTGTTTGCTCAGAGCATGTCCCCACACCCTCAGGGCCTCTGTCTGAACATGTCCCTACACATTAGTTTTTAAGTAATATCATTTTTCTGTTTCAGAACTTCATCCAGGTGCCATATTATATTTCTTGTCTCTTTATGCTCCCCTTTCTGTGATAGTTTCTCAGTCTTCACTAGTTTTCGATGATCTTGACAGTTTTGAGGAATATTGGCCTATTACATTGTAGGATGTCCCTCTGTCAGAATTTTTCTGATGCATTTCTATTTATTAGACCAGGATTGTTTGTTTTAGGAGGAAGATCACAGATGTAAAATGCTATTTTCATCACATCATAGCAAGGGTACATATTATAAAAATATTTTTGACTATCAACCTTGACTTTGGTCACAAGGTAGTATTTGTCTTGTGTCTCCATTTTGAAATTACCACTTTCTCTCTGCTCACCATTCTCCATTCTTTGGAAAGAAGATGCTATGTGTAGCCCACCCTTAAAGATTAAGCAGTTATGCTCCCTATTCATTAGGGTGGAGTGAGATATTAGGATTCTTTAGAGAAACAGAACCAACAGCATTTATTTGCAAAAAGATGTTTATTTAAAAAAAATTAGCTCACTCAGTTATGGAGCCTTGAGAACTGCACAATTTTGTGTCTGGCAAGCTGTAGATTTGGGAAAGGTTGCAGTTGGAGTTCAAAGACAGTCTGCTGCAAAACCAGGGAAGGCTTATGTCTGCAGACGAAGTCCAAAGACAGTCTGTTGGAGAACTCCCTTTGGTTTAGGAAGGTCTTCTATGTGTTCCAGTTAGATTGTCAACGGAACGGATGAGGCCCAGTTCGTTATGGAAGGCAGTCTGCTTTATTCAGAGGTCATCGTTTTCTGTGTGAATCTCACTGAAAAACATCCTCACAGAAACATTTAGAATGTTTGCCCAGGTGTCTGGGCTCTGTGACCCAGATAGGTGACACTTATAATTAACCATCACCAGTATCCATTAGAAATTCTCAGGCTGTGGTATTCATCTCTAAGAACTATCTGATTTATTAACTTATTCAGTCACTTATATTGGCACATACTCATGGATATCTACTTTATACTTCAAACTGTAATCTATTTGACTTCATTTTGTTTTCCAGCCTTGGTCATTGGAAATGGTTGTCCTCCCTTTCCCTTTGATAAATCACCATCAGTATGTCTTTTCATTTGGTTTTGTTTTCATACCTCCTTACATTCTAGGACTACAAAATGTTCCAAGCTCATAGTGTACAGTTCCTGTCTGTATCCTAGAATCAGCCATTTTCATGAAAATCCTGGGTCTTTATATTGCAGAATAGTGTCCCACAAATTTTGATACCTTATATTTCCATTTGTATTCTGTTCAATGTATTCTTTTATTTCTGTTGAGACTACTTTGACCTATAGATTATTTAGAAGTGTGTTTAGTATTTGAAGATTTTATTTTATTTCTTTATTATTGTTATTATTTTTAAAATTTACATTTAATCATTGTACATCTTCACAGAGTAAAATATGATTTGTCTTGGCATGAATACAGTTCATATTAATCAAGTCAAAGATATTACCATATACATTATCATCAACAGAAAACATTTTCGTATGTGTCTGTTAAATGTTTTGTTTGTTTATTGTCTCCCTATTCCTCTTTCTCCCATCCTTTATTATCCACTACCCTTCACACTGTCACTAGTATCTACAGTTGCTCTCCTTGCTGTTGTATCTTCCAATCTTTCTGTTTGTGCTATAGAGTGTAGATATTCAGCGTATATTATGCAGGGATATACAATGCCTGTCTTTCATTAGTCTGACTTGCTTCACTTAGATGGAATCTTCCATATTTGTCCACTCTGTATTAGATATTAGAGTGTCAGTATTTTTTATGGCTGAGTAGTATTCCATAGTTTATATGTGCCACATTTTTTCAATTTTTTTGTTTTATTGATTGTGGTTTCAAGGTTTTTGAGGTTTCTTTTCTGCCCCAGGATTTTATCTACCTTTGCTTATATTCTACGAGCACTGAAAAAAGTGAGTATTCTATTGTCGGGTGGAGTGCTCTATAAATATTGATTAGTTCCTATTGAGTGGTGATGTTTTTGAGTTTTACATTCTTGAAGATTTTCTGTGGAGCTGTCTTTTCTACTGTGACGGTGGAGTGTTAATGTCTCCAGCTATAACATTTTGTTTGTGAACTTTTTTTGATTGAGTCTGTTTTACTCTGTTTCTAGGAAATTCATGATGCATTTTTTTGCATTAAAAAACATAGAAAAATTTGTCATGACTTTCCAGACAAACAACCTAATACTTTCATTTTACAGCTTTGTTTTTTGATGTATATATACATTTTTAAAAATGATTTTTTTAACTTTATTTATTTTAATTTGACCAGAGAGGATTAGAGAGAGAGAGAGAGAGAGAGGGAAAATGAGAAAGCAAGCCACCAGGTCTAGGATTTGAACTACAATTGGCCTTGTGGGAGTACAGCATCCTTAACCACCATGCCATCTGCTGGCCCCAATGTATATACATTTAAGAATAGTATGTGGGACTTTATTTTTTTTAGTTTGTTGTTCAGTTAGTAATTTCTATTGTTCTGTCTTCCAATTTATGATTTTTCTCTTCTATTCATTCTGCTTTGACCTCATCCACTGAATTGATTTTGATTGTTATAGTTTCCATTTATTAAATTTTAATTTGGTTGTTTATATACTATTTCTTTGCTGAGGCATTTACATTCTTGTTTGAATCATGTTTGTACTTTCTTATTGAAACATTCCTTCCTGGCTGCTTTTAAATCATTGTCAAAGAAGTCTATCATTTTGTTATCTTGATTGTGAGTGACTGTTAGTTATCATTTCTTAAGTAATTTGAAAAGTTCCTAGACTTTGGTATAATGAATTATTTTTCTATTAAACCCTCAACATTTTTATATTGTGCTTTCACAGTCTGGAGAGACTTATTTAAGTATTATATTTTGATGGCTTCTCCTAATGTCACTGTACCAGGAAACAGTAATGAGGGAACATTACTACCTCCATAGGTACATTCCCTAATTACTGTTTATGGAGGTAGACATGGCCTTCTTGACACCTGAGGAGTTTGGTGCCCTTGTGACATTTGAGTCGGGGTGGGCTGTCTAGCTCTTATGACTTCTTAATTTTAATAATACGAAATTGCTTACAAAAGCAATTTTCTTGTATTGCACTTAGATGCCCATCCTTCCAATGCACAGAAAGTCTGGAGCTGCTGCCCAAAGAATTGGAAGTCATTTGGCTCCAACTGCTATTTTGTTTCTACTGAGTCAAAATCTTGGAGTGAGAGTGAGAGGAGCTGCTCTCAAATGGGGGCTCATCTGCTGGTGATCAACTCCAAGGCTGAGCAGGTAATTTCTGACAGATGATGGAGCTGATACTTAGCAGAAAATGAGTTCTGCATAATTGCAGTTGTCTCTTGGCCAAGAAGGAGGCTTTTCTTGTTTTGAGACATCGGTGCTGAGGCAGAAGTCTTTACCCATAATATGCAGGAAAGGTTCCCCAAGTCTGTACCTTCTGTACCTTCCTGTTCCAGCTTCTGTAAAACTAACCTCCCCCAAAGAAATGGGGACATTAAAAACGTATCATGTGAGGGTTGGATGGAAGCAGAAAAATGTTCCAGCCTGAAATATAAATTTGTTATTTCAACATGTAAGTGTTTTATAAATTATTAACTAATTAACAGAGAAGGGTATTGGTGGATTAGCAAAAGGTAGGCAAATCATGAAAAGCCACTATCAGTAATTAGAGATGTAATGAAAGACTCTCTGATGTCATGATCACCAGCAGATGGAATTTACGTCACTGGACTCTGACACGGCCGACTATGGTTTGAGTCTCAGACCTGGCAGCTTCAAATTCATGCTGGGCGAGTGTTCTTGGGAGGACAAGAACTGGGAGGAGAAGGAAGGAGAGGGGACTGCAGTGTGGCCATCTTCCCTGGGTGGGCTGACTTCCTCCTTTCTGTCTCTCTGTCTCTTTCTGTCTCTCTGGTGAATGCACGCCCCCTGTAGCTAAAATCTCTCTAAAAAATTCTCTGGAAAAAGAAATCTTATACACTGTAAAGATATATGTGATTAATGCAATATAAAAAAAATCTCTGAAGTTATGAAGTGAAAATGATTAAATCTACATTTTCTCATGTACAATTTTAAAGAATGCCATCTTAGTGAGGGAAGGCCACTCTGAGATGAGAATCCAGCATGACTGTGCACAGGTATTGCTTCCATACATATGAACATCCAGCACAGTGATCTTTGATCCTGCCCTGCTCAGCCAGAGAACTGCTGCACTGCTGGGCAGGGACTCCGTGTGGCCATTCCAGGATCCTCAGTTTCCTATAGACAAAAATAACTCAGTTCATGTCGAATACCCTAAAGGCTGTAACTCTTCTTTTCTTCCTCAGGACTTCATCATTAAGGATTTGAACCAACATTCTGCTTATTATGTGGGGCTGTCAGATCCAGAGGGTCAGGGACATTGGCAATGGGTGGATCAGACGCCGTATAATGAGAGTATCTCGTGAGTATGGAATTAGATAAAGGCTTCTAGGGTCCTGGATTATGCAAGGAGTGTAGGGTGCTTTAACTATCAAGTGTTAAGCAAAACAAAGAAAGAAACAAAGGAAAACCAAAACTCGGACCAAATTTTTTTGTAAAACCTTGACCTCCATGTCTGTGTTTTGGAACCAGCAATTGGCATAATTGTTATGTCGCTGGACTCCCACATAGTCAACCATGGTTTGATTCCCTGACCTGGCAGCTTAAGACTCACCCCAGGCACTTGTGCATGTGTGTCCAAAATCCCGAGAGGAGAATGGAGGGGAAGGGATTACAGCATGGCCATCCCCCCTGGAGGGGGTGGTGAGTTCTCACTTTCTGTCTCTCTGTCTCTCTAGTGAGTGCACACATTCTAAAGCAGAAATCTCTCTCTCTCTAAAAAAAGAAAGAAATAAAAGAAAAAGAAGTATGTGCTTTTAACTTCATGTTTCTAAATAAAACAATGAAAAATCATGTCAATGAAGAGCATAATTGATAAGATTTAAAATTTCTCATACCACAAAAATGTTTATTTTGGTGGTTTAATTAGCAGAGTTTAATTGAGCAAAAACTATTTGAGTCAGACAACCCTGGAATGACTTCCAAGGATGCCATTATGTGCAAGAAAAGGAAAGTGATGGACAGAACACAGAAGTGAGGGGATGAGGTGGAGAAAGAACTGGGCTGGTTACATCTTGGTTTGCCTGAATTTATACAGTTTAGAGGGTGGGCTGTCTGTGATGGACTGATGTAAGTACTGTGATTGGCTGTAACAGCAACTTACTAAGGAGGCAGACTTTCACAGGAGGTTGTGGTTTGCTTCTAAGAACTAGAGCAAAAGTATGGGAGACTTTTTCAGGCCAGTATGCTTTATTTTATTTTATTGTTTTAACATTTATTTATTTATGTATGTATTCATTTGTTGTGATTTTCAAGCCACCAGGTCTCAAACTGCATTTGTTCATGTGGGAAGCCAGTGCCTTAACTGCCACACTTTAATGACTCTTATTTATGTAATTCTTTAAAAACTTTAAAGTCATGGAACAAAGACCAGCAGATGGAGAAATGATTATGTCGCTGGACTCCCACGTAGTCCTCTGTGGTTTGAGTCCCTGACCTGGTGGCTTAAAAGAACTCACATCAGGCACATGTGCATGCACACCCAAGTTCCCAAGAGGAGAATGGAGGAGAAGGGATTGTAGTGTGGAAATACCTTACGAAGGGTGATTTATTGCTTTCTGTTTCTCTGTCTCTGGCGAGTGCACATGCCCTATAGCACAATTTTCTCAAAAAATAGAAAAGTCATGGGACCAGCAGATGGCATAATGGTTACATTGCAGGACTCTCACGTGGATGATCATGGTTTGAGTCCTAGAACTGGTCACTTGAAACTCATGTGCTGCATGTGCTCGTGTGCCTGAAAGCCATCAAGCAGAATAGAGGAGAAGGGATTGTGGCATGGCCATCTCTGGGGGTTAGGGTGGGGGGTGGTGATTTCTCTCTTTCTGTTTCTCTCTGTCTCTCCAGTGAGTACATGTGCCTTTTAGCAAAACTCTCTCTAACTAAAAACAAACAAACAAAACCAGAAAACTTAGTCCTTCAGTAAATATTTGACATTCATTTAGCTATGTAAAATACACAAAAATGTTACATGTTCCATTTTTTAATACAGAAAAGCTAAGAATCAGGGAAATTAAGAGAGTTTTTTTTTTTTTCTGTAGGGTGGTATACCCTCCAGAGAAACAGAGAGAGAGACAGAGACAGAGAGAAATAAAGTAAGAAATCACTTCCAGGGGGGGATGGCTATGGTGCAATCCCTTTTCCTCCAATCTCCTCTTGGTATTTTGGGCATGCACACACATGTACCCAGTGTGTTTTAAGCCTCCAGATCTGAGGCTCGAACTGTCGTCAGCCATGTGGGAGTCCTGCAATGTAACCATTGTACCATCTGCTGGTCCCAGAAAAAGGACATCTTTTGATTGTCTAAGGAAACACTGTGGGAATGGTGATTCTGTAACATTGGGAAATAAAGGTTAAAAAAAAAAAGGAATCTTTTGACATATCTGCTGGGAGGATGTCCAGTGTGTCCTGAGTTGTGTAAGATGTCACACACAGGGTCATGTGGGAACAGCTTTCACAGGAAACACCAGACACCCAGGTCTCCAGCTGTGTCTGAAAGTGCCTGATGTGAAGGTTTTATAGAACATGGCAGCAGAAGTGGGGAGGGAGCAGTTTGTGTATATCTGACTTTGGCTTTCAGATTTCACTGTTCCATCCTGGCCCCCTGATAGTCTTTAACCACTTCCGAAGCACTGTTTGAAGAAATGCCCTCATCTTTTTTCTCCCTTTCAGATTCTGGCACCCGGGTAAACCCAATAATCCTGATGAGCGGTGTGTGGTTGTAACTCTTCCTCCTGTATACCAACAATGGGGCTGGAATGATGTACGTTGTGATGGTCCTCAGAGGTCAGTTTGCAAGATGATGGGGATTTACTTATGAATGGAGCATTGTCTATGGAAATGTGTCTCTTTTTGTACCAGTACCACAGTTTTGATTGCTGCCTTTTGTAATCATTGAAATCAAGAAGTGTGATGCTTCCAGTTTTGTTCTTCTTCAACATTACTTTGGCTACTTTTTTTTTTTTTTTTGTGATTCCACAATAAATGTAGGATTTTTTCCTATTTCTGTGAAAAATGCCATTGGCATTTTGATAGGCATTACATGTAATCTATAAACAACTTTGGATGGTATGGACATTTTAACATTATTAATTTTCCTAGTACATGGGCAGTGGATATATTTCCATTTCTTTATGTCTTCTTTAATTCCTTTTATCAAAATTTTATGTTTTCAATGTACAGAAATTTCACTTCATAAGTTAAATTTTTCCTTAGCATTTTATTTTTCTGGTACTTTTGGAAATAGGATTATTTTTAAATTTCATTTCTAGATAGTTTTAAATTTTATTTTTCTATAGAGTGTATATGTTTGTCGACAGACAGAAGTAGAACGGGGAAGAGAGAGAGAGAGAGAAAGAAATCACCCTCCAGTGGTAATAATCATGCTGCAGTCATTTCTCTATTCTCCTGTTGGGATTTTGGACATACATGCACCCAGGCAGGGGGTGTTTTTAAACTTCCATGTTGGAGATCACACAGGCTGCTGTATGGGATATAGGTGCCTTAACCTCCACTTCATCTGCTGACTCCAAATTATTTTTAGCTTCAAGAAATGCAACTGGCAAGAAGGAGAGAATCAAGGGGGGAGGAGAGCAAAACATTAATGAACACAAAATGGGAAATCACTTGTTGATGACAATGTGTGTGGTAATATCTTTGCCTGGACTTATATGCAGTACACTCATGCCCGGAAAGTCCATTTTGTAAATGTGAAAAATAAAATATAAAAATTTGAGGGAAAAATAAACAAATTCAACCAATTTTTGTATTTAGGTTTTTTCTTTCTTTCTTTCTTTCTTTTTCTTTTTTTGGTAATTGCCATGATAAGGATTTCCAGTACTATTTGAAGTAGAAATTGTGGGGGTGGGTATGCTTTTCTTGTTCCTGATGGAGGAAAACTTTAAGCTTTTTCCTGTTGAGTGTGATGTTGGATACAACCTGTCCCACTTGCCGATCTGGTTGTTCCACACCAAAGGGCAGTAAGTAAGACTAGGAATCAGTGTCAAAAAACCTCTCTTTGGCCATATTCGAGGAATAAGGGCAGTTTGGAGGAAGTGGAGCTCGGACCAAGTTTACCTGAAATGCATGGATCTTAAAGCTGTCAGGATCCTGGTAGAGCCTTTTTTATGGGAAGCAATTTTGAAACTGTGGGCGACAAACACTTAAAATAGCAATAATTAACAAGTTGATGGCAGTTCATTTCAATAATGGTGTAACTGACAAGGATTTGGTTACTCCCATCGCATACAGCACTTAAAGGTAACAACTGCAGTGGGGGCTGTGCACAGGTGGTGAAAGACTTTTCCAGGTGCAGGAGCACGAGCAGAAGCCAGGTTCATTAGAGCCAGGGAAGAGTACATGGGGTGAGAACTGAGTTGGTTCATGCCTCAAGGGTCTCGTTTTGTAGCCTTGAACATAGGGCAACGTTACTGAAATACTCTGTAAGCTCAGGTGCAGATGAGGGTGGTGGTTTCTCAGGAACTTAGGGCTTCTGTCAGCCATGGGCAGTGGCAGGTGGTGGTGCCAGAAGAGACCAGAACATTTTCTCTTTTTTCTGGTGCTGGTGACATCTGTTTCTTGTGCTGTAAAGCTTGTCTTGGGGCTTATCTTGGGCTGTCTTCAGTAACCCTTGGTTTACTTACTCTCTTATGAACTCTCCACAGAAAAAACCAGAATTATGATTGAAAGCACCACATCATTGGTGTCAGGACTTTACACATCTTAATTTTAGAATATACACATAAAAAACCCACTTAATTTTTATAAAGCTAATTTTCTCTAAGTAGTCCAAATCCCAGTTCAAACGTGAAGCATAGAAATCTTTGGGTCTTTAAGGTCAGTTACCAAAAGGCAAAGTAAAACCTGTTACACTGTAATTACTTCCCTCTTTACTAAGACCAGGTCATTCCTTTAAAGCAGCCTTGTTTTAGCACAAGGTGGGGCGGATACCTCTTTGTTTAACTTTTAGAAAGACTTAAAATACCTCCTGTAAAAATTTTAGCCAATTTGTTATATACAAAAAATTTTAATGACTTTGTCTTCATAAAGCTTTGCAAGTCACCCTCAGAATCTTTCCAACTTAACTCAAACCTTCAATGATGTTTTTTTGTTTTTTATTTATTTTTTTTTTGAGAGGTTTTTGCTATAGGGAGAGTGCGCTCACCAGAAAGAGAGAGAGAGACAGAGAGACAGAAAGTGAGAAATCATCCCCCAGGGGTGATAGCCACGCCACAATCCCTTCTCCTCCGTTCTCCTCTCGGGATCTTGGGCACGCACGCACATGTGACCGGCATGAGTTTAAGCCACCAAGTCCAGGACTCAAACTGTGGTTGACTACATGGGAGTCCAGTGATGTAGCCATTATGCCAACTGCGGGTTCCTCAATGACGTGTTTTAAACTGTAAGTATTTGCCTCATCTTCCCTTCTTTCCATTCTGCAATTAAGCCAGTTTACTTTAGAACAAAAATTTTACTGCATGAAATTTTCTTCTATTAAAGTTTTCTTTCCGTTTTAACCTTCCTTACCCAAAATATATCTTTATTCTTACAGTTGTCTTTCCATATTTTTCCTACTTACTGTTTTCTTTCTCTCTTGCTTCTCTTTTCTTTGTAAGTTTACTTTTGGAAACAATCTTAAATAACTTCTGACTTAGACGAGAATTACTATTCTTATTTTAATAAAAGAACATATACCTTGCTCACAATTTATCTTATTAGAAGCATATTCTGAGTACTTTGCATGTAGAATTACATATATCAGGACTTACACTTTTACTAACTTTAATTCCCAGAAGCAAGCAATTTTGAGTTATTCTATGCCAACAGCTTATGAATATGCATCTTCCAGATTTTTTAAAACTATGCATTTTTGGTCCAGAGGGTAGCGTGTTGGTTGGGGCACTAGACTCCCACAGGGCACTGTGGTTTGAATCCTGGACCTGGCAGCTTGCTTTTTCACTCTTTCTCTCTCTTGCTTTCACTCTCACTTTTGTTGTCTCTCTCTGGTGAGTGTGTGTGCTCTGCAGCAAATTAAATTAAAAAAACTTAAACAATAGAAGTTGGATCATTTGGGGAAAGCTCAGGGCAGAGAATCTAGCATTTGAGCTAGGAGCAGGTTGTGAAAAGATTCCCCATGAAGGATTTAATGGAGAGCTTTTCTCTTGGCCTTCCTAAATAGTAATATTTAGTAGTCAATTTATCTCCCTGTACCTTGTGACCCCATTTAATTATTCTCCTTGTTGCAACATAGTCCTTTGTACCTGGGTAGCCTGTTGTGGAAGAGATGTGAAGGGATGGGACAGAGGGGGATAAAGGTCAGCTTCCTCTCCCAACAGGTAATGGAGAGCTGCTTTCAGGAGATCTGGAGGTGAGTAGGAGCAAAATGAATGAATTAATGATGGAGCTAGTTAATGGCAACTGGGAGAAGCAGAGAGCACCCAGGAGCAACTTCAGAAGTTGTAAGATTTACACTTTGTCTTTCCCACTGTATTAGAGAAAGCTGATTTTTTAAAAAAAATTTTCTACATTAATTCACTATACACCATCACAACACACCAATGAATTTTCCATCCAAAATACACTGTGCATTGGTTCAATCAAGCACATCAACATACATGTTCTCAGCAAATAATTTTCCAATTCTTACATCCTGCATACCTTGCCCTTTGTCTTGCCATCCCT